AGCAGGAATAGCTGGGCAGGGTAATTTCTCTTCCAAAGGAGCAAAGGTAATAATTGCAACCACAGTTCTAGGCCAGTGAGAGAATAAGTTTAAACAGCTAAACCTTTGCTTTTCATCAGCCAAACACAATCTTGATTGACAGTCACGGCTGTGGTGGAACATGTGACTAGGGAGTCAGGGTGGTATGAAATAGGTAAGTGCACCCTGTCTGGTTTGGCGCAGTGGATAGAGTGTCAGCCAGCAGACTGAGGGTACTGAGTTCGATTCCGGTCAGGGCACGCATCTTGGTTTTATGTTCCCTGGCCCTGGTTGGGCTGCATGTAGGAGGCAGCTAAATTGATGTGTCTCTCTCACATCGATGTTTCTCTCTGTCTCTCCCTCTCCTTTCCACTCTCCCTAAAAATTAATGGAAAAATATCCTTGGGTGAGGATTAACAAAAAAAGAAAGAAAAAAATAGGTTAAGTAGGTCCTGGGCAAAATAAGTGTTGCTTCAAGTCAAGGTGGTGTGCCTGGATTGCAGTCTTTATCTTTTCTACTTTCACCTCTAAAATCATTTCATCATATCAGAGAGATTCTGCTGTTAATCCACAGCTTGGGATCCTGGCTTTAAAAGAAAGGTAAGTGGCCCTGGCCAGAATGTCCAGTGGTTAGAGTGTCGGCCTACTCACTGAAGGGTTGCAGGTTTAATTACTAGTCAAGGGCATGTACATGGACTGCAAGTTTAGTCTTCAAACCTTGTCAGGGCACTTGTTGGAGAGGCAACTAATCACTGTCTCTCACGTTGATGTTTCTCTCTCTGTCCTCCCTCCCTCCCTTCCACTCTCTCTAAAAATCAGTGGAGAAAATATCCTCAGGTGAGGATTAACAACAAAAAAAAGAAAGAAAAGGGTAAGGGTCCACAACTGAAACTAAATGGGAATTTTCATTAAACTGTGGTATCTCCTGCCTGCTCCTTGCTTTTAGCAGCAGGATTCAGAGGATAATTGACAATGAAAACAAACGCCCTCTCCGAAGGAGGGCAGCGGAGCACCTCTCCATCCCTTCCACTGACCTACTTGTACTGGCAGACTGTGCCCTATTTCAGAATTAAGGTTAACAAATGGCTGTCTTTAATAGCCTTTTTTTAAGCTAGGTAAGGACTGGGGATATTTAGTCTGCAAGGTGAGCCGAGCAGAATGTTATAAAAGACAGGTCAGCAAGAGTTGGTTTTTATTTTAGTTTTTCAGCTGAATCCAAGGCATAATCTGCAAGGGAACAGTGGAGATACTAAGACCACCTTTTAATTTTAACACAAGAAAAGAAAGAAGAGGGTCATCCCATGGGGAAGTAGCAATACAGGTATATTTTATTTCACATTTTATTAGTAGACAGATGGGCAGAAAAAGACAAAATAAACCACTAAAGGGAAGTTCAACACAAAATGCATCAGATAATCTTTTCTCATAAGTTAAACTGAAGAAAAACATCTACAATTTCAGCTAAGAAAACTATTAAAGTCAGGTGTGACCTGCTGGTTTTAGAATAGTTGAAAATTGCATCTGAATTTGTAAATGTAAACCTTTTATCAGCATGGGAGGGGGGGAGAGTTAATTTTCAGTGGAGGACTACACATTTCTCCCTTCAATCTCTTACCGTATACGTCCCAAAAAATAAGGAAACCAGCAAATAATTACCAGGGAAGAGGAAAGAAGATACTACAAAAAAGAAAAAGTCTGGCTAATAGAAAAGAACTCTGGAATGATATGAAATAGAGGGGAAGACTTTGAGAAGCAACAACAGAATCATGATGATATACTTTCTCCACCCAGCCTCAAAAAAACACAGACTTGAAGAGCACCCAGAGAGGCCTCCACTAGAATCAAAGGAATCTAAAAATGCAGGATTTTGAGTTCATTATACCAAATGCACAAGTGTACTCACAAGGGTATAGCCTGAGATCTCCACTCCTAAAAAGAAAAGTTACAGTAAGCTCAAGTTTTCTTTTGCCACAGGATGTGTTCTCAAGACAGAGCTCTGGAACCAGCATCTGGGTTTTACAAGTCACTGTGAGCTATCAGAATGTCTACCTGCTAGCAAATCACCACTCTCCAGCCTTCTGATTGTACTCTATCAGAGGAAACCCAGCCCTCAATATTAACACCCCAAAGGGCTGAGAGGTACTACCTCCACCTGGCTCTCTGGCTCCCTGAGTCAACATGCAACAGGCCAACAGGGCCTAATGGGACCAGGCTGAACAGCATAGCACCTCCCACATTGCCAACACGCCTGGTCTGCCCTGGGAAAGAAATGCTTTAGCAGTAAGAGGGGGAGAAAGCTTAATTATAGGGCTCTAATAGAGTAAGACCAAGCTACCAACTGTAAACGTGGGGGAGGGTTTGGTGAGAGGGTAGTGGATAATCAGCATCATGAGAGACTGGGCTCCATTAGATTTGCAGGTTATTTGGAAGCATGACTTAAGTGTGAGGAGCTAAAACAGTTTCAACATCCTTCTTATGAGTTTGCAGTCCATGTTTTATCTCAAAGAGCTGCTGTTTACTGAATCTGAGTCACTAGATTCAAGGTGCAAGTAGTCCTGGCCCCATGGAAATTGGACAGATTCTGGGAGCAGGCTCAATATTGTCCCAATTGAACCTTAACACGTTAAATGTTTTCACTTAATACTAGACCAAACTTCAGAGGCCAGAGAGGGTTGCTGGGAATTAGCACGTTTTGGAGAGTTTGAAGAGCGAATGAAAACCCTGAGATCAGAAAGGAAGGAGGAGCTAAGGAAGTAAGCATCACCTATTCTGTCCTAGGATCTATCTATCCTACCTCATCCCTCATCAACCCTTTTGTTCTTTCTGAGCTAAGATCTGAAGAAAAGGAGTTGACACTAGTGCACAGGGATTTGAAGTAGGATTATAGTCAGTCTTTGCTGTATTTTCCTTCCAAAACCTGGGATTTTACATTAACAATTTTCCCCACTGAAAGAACACTGCCCTCGTATGAACTGACCCACTCCCATAAGAAACAAAAATCACCGCCAAGTTCTGAAGTCCCTGGTTGGTGAAGGCTGATGGATCTCAGAATTGATTGAAGTAACACGTGATTGAGACCAGGGAAATCAAAGCTGCAGCAGTTGCACAGAAGGAAGATCTAGCGTCACCCAAACACTGCCTGCAGCCAACTCCCTGGGTGGAAGAGTCTAAAGAAACCCAAGGCAAGCTCCATGCACAACTTCTTGCACTCCACAGCCAGACAGTACATTGAAAGAAGAGCAAAGTCCAGGTTACAGCCAATGAGGAAAGGTAACTGGTCACTCTTGTCTCACATTTATCCACAGTTATCACTAGCTCAATGAAAACCAAAATTGTAACACGTGCACTTAGTATTAATACTGAGTAATTAAAACTGGCTACTTAAAAAATATATCCTCATGGTGAGAGTATATCTTTGACAGAAAGGCCTTGTCAAATAAATAAAACAGATGTTCTCTCTCCCAACAGTGGTCACCAGTAGTTTTGACACACCCCCCCCACCCCCAAGCAGCATCAACTAAAATTGGCATAGTGATTTTTAACCTTTGTTGCCATCACCAAGACTCCACACACACACTAATTCCCACTCTCTCCCCCAACTCCCTGGTGGGGGAAGAAGAACTCTGCCTTTAAAATAAATAGCAATCAAGTGCTCAGTTCTATGTAAAGTATGAATATTTATTTCAGGCTTTAGATCCCAATCAATTTCAAAACCCAAAATCTGATTTCTTTCCTCAGAACAGCTGAGACCTCTGTGTTAGGATGATTTCCTGGAGGCTGACGGGGCTCTCTGCCCTAGGAACACATTTCATCAGTCTTAGCACAGAGTCCCTGATCAAGGGTTTGGGTTTAAAGGGGGAAAAAATCAATACAGTGATGGAAGGGTAAAAGAATGCAAGAATTCGGACATTCTGTGGAGGATTACCTTCTCTCCATTAAGAGGTCCATAAAAAGGAGCAAACTGAGATCCACAAGGGGAGTCAGCAGGAGCCATGTTTGTTTTCCCCACCCCCTGTGATAGGTTTTTGCTGAGGGGCCACTGCTAGGTCCCCACTTGCTCCCCTCCCTTTGGCCTGAGAGGGCAGGGCAGTACAGGGGCTTCGAAGGAGCAGGTGACGACTCCTCATTCCCAGAATCATCATCATCATCAGTTCCCAGAATCATCATCATCATAACAGTCGGCATCTTCCTCCTCCTCATCTTCATCATCAATGTCATCGTCGTACAAGTCGTCATAAAGCACATCTGAGCTGTTGTCATTGGAAGGCACTTTAGTTTTGATGCAATATTCCGCCAGGGTCGTGGGGACTTTTACTCCATCCTTTTCTGCTTCGGCTTTCGTGGCTGAAACCTGTTTTCTGAAGGGAATAGGGTAGTTATATAAGTCTGTCTTGAAGATGGATTTATAATTGGTACTTCTAAATAAGATTCCTTATAACTCAGGTTTCTAAACTTTTAGTGCCTGCCTGAAAGCATCTGAAAGCCCCAAAAGCGGTCACCCGCTCAGGTGCCATTTTGAAGGACACAATGACCTTTAGAAAAGCAAATCTTAAATATTGGTCATCCAGCAATTTTCTCAGGTATTTTTTCTCCTAGTTGTCTCATGTCAATGTCTTTTTATTTTAAAATATATTTTTATTGATTTCAGAGAGGAAGGGAGAGGGTGAGAGAGAATCACTGATTGGCTGCCTCGCACACACCCACCACTGGGAATTGAGCTCACAACCTGGGCACGTGCCCCCGACTGGAATTGAACCCGGGACCCTTCAGCCTGTAGGCCGATGCTCAATCCACTGAGCCAAATAGGCTAGGGCACATCAATGTCTTTTAAGACCTGATTGATGCCTCTTAATTTCCCAAATCAGAATTTATATTCAAGCAATGTAAAGCTACTTACAATTCTCTTGACATGCCATGCTGTTACACACCTGTTTTAGCAAACATGTTTCTCTCCCTGAAGAGGCTTTTTCTTTGCCCTTTTACTGGAAAATTCTTATTTATGAGGCATTATCTTCTAGGAACTCCACATTATATATTCCTTCCAGTGTATCGTCTTTAAGCTTCTATAGTTGCACTCATTTGTTTGTTAAGTAAAGTGAGCTCCCCAGGGAGAAAGACTACAGCTTAATGACCTAGCAGTGTAACTGACACAATGCTGGTGCATAAAATATGTTGAGAGAATATAAGAATGACATAAAGAAACTCAAAGTAAGAAACAGGAAGAATACAAATACCTCTGGATTCTTCACTTACTAAATCCGTCCTTTCCTTGAACATCAGGTTAAAAACAGGGTTTTTAAATCCTCAATCCACTCCTGCTCCTCTAAGTTTCTATAGGCCCTTACTATTTATACTAATTATCTTCAATCTCTGGTGTATACCAGTCACCTAGGTGGCTGATAAAAACAAAACACAGGTGTCTACATTCTATCCATCCCTGTAATCTCATTAAATGATTATGGATTGGGGCGTGGAGGAGTTCTTTAATGTTTCCAGTGGCAGAAAACAACCACTAATCTACATTATTCAGCTATCAAATGACATGCCCTTTTCTGCATGTTTTTAATATCACATGGTATACTTCTTGTCACTCAGATATGAACTTAAATATCACCTTACAGGAGGCTTGTTCTGACAACCCAATTTAAAGCAACCATCTCATCACTCCTTCACATTATCCTACTTACCACTATCTAGTATTTGTTAAATGATCTAACTCGTTTGTATTAGGTTGACTAGATTTATAGAGAGGGACTCTCTAAATTCTAGTTCTTACTAGAGTTTGTATAAACTTACTGAATATAAAAATGCAGTTGTATTCAGGGGAATTAGATTTATTTCAATTCAAGTACCAATCTTGGGTAGTTATGAAAACCTTATGTCCTACTCAGGAAATGATCAAGAACTTAATACCTTCTACTTTTTTTCCCTTTTACATAGAAAAACTAAACAGCAAAAAGTTAACTGATAAAAGGTCACATGAGAGGTGCTAGGAGTAGATCCCAAGCCTCCTGATTCTTATTCTAAGGTTCTGTTAGACCATATACTAATGTTGCTGATAATGATCATGCCCAGAAGAACAAGAGGGCTTCATTAATAAAAAATTTGAAAACAAAATAACCTGGAATGATTGGAATACACTGGGTGCTTGCTACACTTAAAAGTCCAAAATAATGCAATCATCCCTAAAATGATTACAAGGGAAAGTTTGCAAACTTGACTGGCTCAGAACCTAGAAGCTCTGGTTCCCAGGAAATCCCATCTGCTACAACATTATCTTGTAGTATGTGTTCTCCAAAAAGCCAAACTCATTAGTCTCAAGCACAAATCCCTTCCCAAACAATCTAATTAAGAGAAATGGAGTAGACAATGAAATTCAATTTAAACCTCTGGTTCTAGGATATTACTTTGGTTCTAAGTAAAGACTTGAATGATCAAAAACAAAGCACCTTACCTAATGATTTCAGCATATTCTTTGTCTTTTCCTTTACTGTCCCTCCATTTCCTGAACATAACTGAAGCATCCACATTGGCTGGGGAGAAGGTGTTGGGCTCATTAAGCAATGAGATTACACTTAAGAGGATAGTCCTAGAAACAGGAAAAAATAAAAAGGAATCAGCTACAAATACTCATATTCATAGGATTCAAAAGTATTCTTTAAAATTGAAGACTACAATATTTGAGGCCTTAGGGAAATGGAAATAGAATATCATAAAATTTTGTTTTCAGCACTCAGCTGGTTAGGCTAACCAGGAGCTAAAAGCAGAGGAAATATGTGAGCCTAGCATGAGATCCTGATGCAGGGCATAAAACTGTAGAAGACTGTCTCAACTGGCTACATACTCCAATCTGCAAAAAGTACAGGTCTGGAAGCTTTTCAAATAACATTATAGATTTTAGAAATTTTCCCCACAAGTTTGCTTCAGAAATTACAAGTTAAGTACAATAAGAAAAAGAAAGACAAAAAACATTTAGCTTTAAGACAATGTTTTCATGGGAGGAAAAAAAAATGATGCTACTTCATACATCCAATCTAATCGTGGCTGTTTATAAGATCTAAAAAAAAAAAAACACCCCAGTATTACACAGAAATGTATTTCTTTTCCATATTTTTAAGGGAAGAAAGGCAGATAAGCAGGACAATGCAGGAAAAAGAACTAGTCTCTTAACAGAAATCTTTATTCAAAAAGTTTTACTAAGCACCTACTATGTGCCAGAAGCACCAGATGTTGGCTGTATGATAGTGAGCAAGTTAGATGTCATCCCTGAATTCCCAGGGCTTATATAGCTTGTGGGAGATATAAACAGGCAATTTTTATCCACAGATAAAAACTAGACACCTTAATCAGTCATGGGGAATACAGTTTCAGTTAGATAAAATAACCAAAAGAGCAGAGTAGGCTCCAAAAATATTCCAGACTATTCCCAGGCTTTTTTCCCCTACAAGCTACGTGCATGTACGAAAGGAGAAAAATGGGAGAAAAAAATTAAATTTCTCTACCTTTTCTCATTGGTGCGAGGTTATACATTGTGTTGTTGCAAAATAGCCTTTTGCTCCTGGCCCCAAGCAAAAAATAAAGAGAGGGGACCAGGCAATTAGATGTTTGATTTGATGAAACCTTTTCCTAAAAAGGGCAAAGAGTTTCTGTTACGTGATTATACAAAATTATGACAAAGGCACTTTCAAAGAAAAAGTTTCCATTTAGTTAAAATCCATTTATCTCTCACACACACCTTTCTATTAGGTTAGAAATAACTCCTTGCCCTTCCTGTCAAGATCCTTATGGTTTTCTCCAATAATTACATTTAAAAGATTCAAAGAAACTCATCACTGCCAATAATGGAAAATGGATTCACATAACATCCTAAAAGCAAAAGTGTAAGTAGAAAATTACATAAGGGTTGCTTCAGAAGAAAACACTCAAAACATCTACACTAATAAAAGAGAAAGATGCAAATTGACCATACCTTCACGATGCCCACCAGCCAATCAAGAGTGGTTATGCAAATTAATCTAACAAAGATGTTGGGTTAATTTGCATATGCAGGCACCGAGCAGCCGGGGGCGTTCTGCACTGCCCCAGCTGCTCTGGGCTTCTGGGCAGTGCAGGAAGGCAGAAAGGGGGCTGTGGGCTGGAGCAAAGGCGGTGCTGGCAGCCAGGGGAAGGCCCATTCTTGCACGAATCTTCGTGCATCGGGCCTCTAGTCCTATATAATAAAAGCCTAATATGCTAAGTGTCCAGTCATCCATTCAACCAATCAAAGCATAATATGCTAATGATATGTTAAGGCCGCTCAACTGTTCACTATGACATGCACTGACCACTGGGGACAGATGCTCCAACTAGTAGGTTAGCTTGCTGCTGTGGTCTGGCTGATCGAGAGTAAGTGAGATGGGCCGGATATGCCCTGGAGCCTTCCGCGGTCCCTCCCCAGCTGGCCAACCACCTGCATTCCTCCCCAGCCCTAATGGTGCACCAGTGGGGTCCCTCGGCCTGGCCTGTGCCCACTCGCAATCCAGGACCCCTTGGGGGATGTTGGAGAGCTGGTTTTGGCCCCATCCTGCAGGCCAGGCCAAGGGACCCCACTGGTGCATGAATTCGTGCACTGGACCTCTAGTGTTATACTAGTATAAGCAGGATAAGGACAAAGTATGGTAATAAACAGGGAAAAAAGGTTTTAATGGTCTAGATCAGCACTGTATACTTACAACTTTCAATGATGGTGGAAATGTATAATCTGTTATGCAATATAACCACTAGCCACATGTGGCCACTGAGCATTTTGAAAGATATCTTGTGCAATTGAGGAACTGAATTTTTAATACTAAAGAAGTTTAAACAGCTGTATATCTAGATGAATCATATTAATTAGGAAATTTTTCCCCACAAGTTAGTTTCACCAAGTTGGTTTTTATAACATCTTGTGTATATTATTAAAATACTAAACTGGGCCCTAACCAGTTTGGCTCAGTGGATAAAGCTTTGGCCTGCAGACTAGAGGGTCCCAGGTTCGATTCTGGTCAAGGGCATGCACCTTGGTTGCGGGCACATCCCCAGTAGGGAGTGTGCAAGAGGCAGCTGATGGATGTTTCTCTCTCATCAATGTTTCTAACTCTATTTCTCTCCCCTCCTCTCTGAAAAAATTAATAAAATATATTTTTTTAAAAATGGTGAATCATCCATTTGTACCAAAACAAGCCCACTTCTACTACCATGTACTCCTAAACTGAAATCCACGAAACTTTCAGAAGCATTAGGTACCACAGTGGATTGTGATAATAGTTAACCCAGCATACTTTCCTCCCTTCATCTGGAAAGCACAATCTTTTTGTCTTGTTTTGTTTTGTATAGAGAATCCACCATCATGCTACACGTTCATACAAACAACCTACTTATACCCACAGCAGTAGACATACCACCAAGTGCTGGCCAAAGGATTCCATCATCTTGTCATGAGGATGGGTTTGGGGATATGCATGCGACCTAAGCTGGGACAATCAGAACCCTGGTGGGAACTCATTTTTCTAACCTAATAACGAAGAATTTTTATTCTTGTTGGTTTAGTAACAGAATATGGAAAGTATAGAGCAGGTGGCCATCTTTGTTACCAAGTGGTGAGAGCCAGCCTAATATAAAGGTCAATATAGAACAAAGCAGAATTGAGATTTTTTTCTCTCTCAAAGGTAACTGATGCAAAACATTCAAAGTTTCCAAACCAGTATGTTGTGGATGAGTTTCAAGTTAATTATACCTATATTGATTCCTTCATCAGTTGGGTGGGTCAGACCTATCACTTCCTTTTTCTATATACCACGACTGGAAAAGGCTTGGAGAAAATGTCATACATAGTTTAAAATGTCCACTTATACCAAAATAATTCAACACAGGGCATTACACTATACCTCTAGCATGATCAACTCTGCAAGGTAAGTACTATTAATCCTATTTTTATAGAATGGGAAAACTCAAGTGCTAAGACCATACTGGCAGAATGTACAAACTATGTTCTTTGTTGTCATTTTTTGTTATTTTCAGTTAATATTTTAAAAACCTTTATTCATTTCTCTTTTCAGAAGAAAAAAGACAGAAGGTGGAGAGGGTTAACAATAGGTGAAAAGGGAAAGAAAGAACAAATAATTAAACTATCCCCCAATGAAGAGGTTACTCAAAGCCCATTAGAGGGATTGGTTTCCTGCAGATCATGAACAAAGGGGACGGAATCAGGAAAACAGCATACACTCCTTTTTAGTCTCATTATTTCCATATAAATTCATGGTTCCATGTGAAGCTCTGGTTTTGAGTGACACAGAGTTGCCTTTGTCATTTAGACAATCTTGTGGCACCTGGACATAAATTTCTTGGATTAGCAGAATAGACTATGAGGGCCCATCCCCAGACTCTTAGTTCCCATAAAGAAAAACACCACTGCCATTCACTAACTGGGTAAAGAGGAACAGGTCTGGTTGCCCAAATCCAGTGGTGTGTTTTAACATGTGTTACAACACAGAAAAGACCTAAACCAGTAAGAATTTTGGAAATAGAGTTTTAAAGTGTTTTCCACTTACTGCACAATTCCCATAACCACCACAATTCACAGAATTAGGGATATTCCTAGGAAAAATGTGCTCCCTCCACCCCTGCTTAAGCCAGAATAAGGGATGACGGTAAAATTTTTTGGAAAATAGAAAAATGCTAAGAAGAGAAAGAAGTACTGACAAAAGGATAGGCAAAAGCTCTCTAGACCGTCTTCAGGTTCATGTTTCAGATCCTTTTGCCTGCTTCAGTATCTCTGTTAGAGATAATATCACTGGCTATCTTCTTTTGGATAAAAAATAAATTTGTAAACAAAAACACCCAGAGAACATGAAGGCCAACTAATCACACACACACACACACAAACAAACAGCAAAAAGCAAGTTGTAAAGTTCTATATCACTAAAATGTTTTAAAAACAAAACTATAGCCCTAACCGGTTTGGCTCAGTGGATAGAGCATCAGCCTGCGGACTCAAGGGTCCCAGGTTCGATTCCACTCAAGGGCATGTACCTTGGTTGTGGGCACATCCCCAGTAGGGGGCGTGCAAGAGGCAGCTGATCGATGTTTCTTATCGATGTTTCTAACCGTCCCTCTCCCCTCCTCTCTGTAAAAAATCAATAAAATATATATATAAAGAAACAAACACAAAACTATAGAAGCATTTAAGGGAGACAGAAAATCAGAATTAGACATCTATGACCCAATGGGTAATACTGTATTTGTCCCTTTTCAAGAAAGATAGTAGTCAATGAGATGGGTCTGTCCTTTCTCTGTTACCATGTCACCACAAGTACTCTGGCTGGGAGGGCAGAAAACTGGTCCTAACACGCACAACAAAATAATTGTGGCTTATGGGTCTTCCTGGAAACTTAGCAGGAAAAGTTTAGAATTTTGCAGAATTGAACATTGGCATTTTTCTCCCAATGTATACACATACCCCTCCAAGCAGCATGTGAGAGAAATAGAAAGGGTTCATTCTTAAAAACCTAAATTTACTTGATTCATATACACTATTTCAAATTCAGCCCTCATTACATGTTTTGAAGACGGGAGAATAATTTAAAGAGGACATTGTGGCAAAGAAATCTGTTATGACAGAAAATGAGATAGCTTAATGGGCCACATACTACAAAAAGGTTTTAATGCTAGTAAAGCAACTAACAAATATAACAGTTCTTTCTGTGTAAGCCCTAAAGCTGCTGCTGATGGACATATCACTGAGAACACACTGTAGGAAGGAGGGTATCAGATTAAAATACAGGAGGTGGCAAAAGTAGATTTACAATTGTTCATAATAATGCAAGAATAAACTGAGTTTCGTGTAGTCACAACTATGAACTTATTTTTGCCCCATGCTATATATTTCTTTTCTCAACCCTTTCCAAGTATATTGGATTGAACAAAGTACCTAAATGAATGAGTAATGAGCATAATCAATAGTTATTTGATGTGTCTTGAACACATGAATCTTTTGGTATACATGTCCTAGAAAATGGGAAATAACTCACTAAGAACTGGGTAAGAAATCCTGGTACAAATCAGAAAGCTCTCAATTCTTTGCTTTTGACAAAAGTGGAGATCCTAATCAAGTTACTAGCTTTCAGATAAATAAAAATGAGTAACAACATGATTTAATCAACAGATAAATGGGGAGCATAGATCAATCTTATTGCAGAAGAATTGAAAATAATTTATGCAGGTATCTCAGCCTCTAGATCTAGAAGATATAATTCCCCACTCCTTAAAGTGTGGGCTGTACTTCCTTCCAAGGAGTACAGAATGGAAGGGGGAACGGAGTTACAGTGGAGAAACCCTAAAAATAGTCTCAGTCGTGAGTGTTATGAATGTTAGAATTAACAGTGATAGAAAATGTTGACAGTATGCACCTTTGATATGACATAAAGAAAATGTACAGCTGACCTTTGAACAATGCAAAGGTTAGAGGTGACAATCCCTGTACAGTCAAAATCCACATAGAGCTTTTGATTCTCCCAAAGCTTAACTGCATGGTTCCAGGATCCCCCTCGGACACTCTCAACTGTACTTTACCTTCCTGATTTTCTTCCCCCTATTCACTATCCAGTCTAATAACCAGAAAAGCAATAGAAAAATACCAACTGGGGAACGAAATACTTGATCAGTACTCCTCAAAATTGTTAAGGTCATTAAAAAAAAAGGGGGGGAAAGTCTTAAGAAACTGCCACAGTTGCCTAAAGAGACATGCTTATTAATATAATATGGTATCTTGCCTGGGATTCTGGAGCAGAAAAATGACGTAAGGTAAAAACTAAGGAAATGTGAAAGGGTATGGACTTTATTTAAAACAATGCATTAATATTAGTTCACTATAATAATTGGAATCATACTAATGTTAGATGTTAATATTAAAGAAAACTGACAGGTGCAGGGCATATGGAAATTATACTTTTATCCACAATTTTTCTGAAAATCTAAAACTGTTCTAAAATTTTAAGTTATGTAAAACAAAAAGGACAAAACCACAATGAGAAACCACATTCACCCATTAGAATGCTATAATTTTAAAAACACAGATAATAAGTGTTAATAAAGACCTGGAGAAATTGGTATTCTCATACTCCTTGGTGGGGATGTACTGCTTAGTGCAGCCACACTGAAAAACAGGCTGGCAGTTCCTCAAAAAGTTAAATATTGAGTTACCATATAACCCAGCAATTTCATTCCCAGGTATATACCCAAGGAAACAAAAGCATGTACATGTACACAGTGTTCATAGCAGCTTATTCATAACAGCCAAAAAAATAACCCAAATGTTCATTGAGTAATTAATGGATAAACAAATTGTGGTATAAGCACTTAATGGAATATTACTCAGCCATAAAAAGGAATGAAATATAATACATGCTACAATGAAGATGAACACTGAAAATGTTCAGCTAAGTTCAAGAAGCCAGATACAAAATACTACCTATTGTAAGATTCCATTCATATGAAATGTACAGAATAGGCAAATTCATAGAGACAGGAGGCAGACTGGTGTTTCCTAGGTAGAAGGGTGGGATGGAGTTGAAGGATAATAAAAAGTATAAATGACACGTATAAGTTTAATAGTGATGAAAATGTTCTAACAGTGATTGTGGTAATGGTTGTACAATGCTGTGAGTATATTAAAAACCTATGAACTATACACTTAAAATCAAAGTATTGAATAGTATGGAAATTATATCTGAATAAAACTTTTTTAAAAAAAAAGACTGATGCCGAAACCGGTTTGGCTCAGTGGGTAGAGCGTCGGCCTGCGGACTGAAAGGTCCCAGGTTCGATTCCGGTCAAGGGCATGTACCTGGGTTGCGGGCGCATCCCCGGTGGGGGATGTGCGGGGGGGCGGCTGATCGATGTTTCTCTCTCATCGATGTTTCTGACTCTCTATCTCTCTCCCTTCCTTTCTGTAAAAAATCAATAAAATATATTTAAAAAAAAAAAAAAAAAAAAAAGACTGACAGTGCGGCACGTGCTGCTAAGTGGTTAGAGTGTTGGCCCTTGAACAAAAGGGTCAGGGGTTCGATTCTGGCCAAGGGCACGTACCTGGGTTGCAGGTTCCTCGCCCTTATTGGGGCAAGTTGGGGTAGCAACCAACTGATTTGGCTCTCTCACATTGATGTTTCTCTCTTCTCCCCCCACCCCTCCCTTTAATCCTCTCTAAAGTCAATAAAAAAAATCTCCAGTGAGCAAAACAAAACAAAACAAAAAGAACAGATGATTAAATATCTATCTATCTAGCCGAAACTGGTTTGGCTCAGTGGATAGAGCGTCGGTCTGTGAACTGAAAGGTCCCAGGTTCGATTCCGGTCAAGGGCATGTACCTGGGTTGCGGGCACATCCCCAGTAGGAGATGTGCAGGAGGCAGCTGATCGTTGTTTCTCTCTCATCGATGTTTCTAACTCTCTCTCTCTCTCTCCCTCTCTGTAAAAAGTCAATAAAATATATTTTTAAAAAAATAAATATCTAGATAGATGGGTCAATAGATTAATCAATAAAGGAAATCACAAGAAATACACAAGCCTTCCAAATCTTAAGACACATCCACATATACAAGGTGTCCCCAAAAAATGCACAATTGAGAGCTCACTTTTGAAATGTGTTTTAACAAACACTGCCTTTACAATTATTCAGTGTGTGTATACAGTTTTTTGGAACATCCTATATATAAAACAATGGATAATGGAAGCTCTTTTAAAGGTAGCATGTAGCCTGGCCAGTATGGCTCAGTTGATTGGGTGTTGTCTCATGCACTAAAAGACTGCTGTTTGATTCCCCGTCAGGGCACATGCCTGGGTTGTGGGGCTTGATCCCAAATAGGGGGTGTGCAGAAAGCAGCTGATTGATGTTTGGTTCTCACATTCATTCCTCTCTCTCTCTCTCTCTCTCTCTCTCTCTCTCTCTTTCTCTCTCTCTCTCTCTCATCCTCCTTTCAATCATGTAAGGACACACTGAGAAGATGCTTCCTGCAAGTCAAAAAGAGAGCTCTCACCAGAAGCTAACCATGACGATATCCTGATCTTGAACTTCCGGCCTCCAGAACAGTGAGAAGAAAATGTCTTTTTTAAGCCACCCAGTTTCTCCCTCCCTCCCTTTCCTTCTTTCTACCTCTCTCCAAAAATCAATACAAAATCTTTTTAAAAAAAAATTTTTAAGTAGCATGTTAAGTAAATTTTCAGTTTGGAAACAGTAAGACCTTTTTGCAAAAAGTAATAAGAAGCCCAGAATAAAGAAACAATCAATACAAACATGAAAATCATGAGATCCAAGACACAGATGAAACTTACAATAAAGTAAGAGGAAGAATTCACACTAGAAAATTTCTCCCAAGGCAAACATAGAGAAAGGAGTAACATGTGCATAATATATTGTTCCATAAATACAACTCTTCAAAATGATGCATACATGCTACTTAAAGCTCTAGCAGGAGACAAAATAACCAAATATAAAAGGATTATTTTGTACTTAAAAAATAATATCCAATCTTAAGAAACACCTAAAAACCAGATTATTTCTTATCAACCCCTTACCTGACATTCTGAGTAGGATTCCACCTTTCGGAGGGCAGTTCACCACTCTGTGGGTCATCTACGGGTGGATGAAGAATTGAAATGCATACATCTCCATTCTGTAAGATAGAAACCACATTCAGTACTCAAAAATATGACATAAAAAAGACACATCAGTTCCTCTGAAATTTCTTTTATCCCTCCAAAACTTGTTTTCTTGTCATTAGAAGAGAAAACAATTCTGCTTTTTCTTCACATTTGGACTCAATGTTAAAGGATTAAACTTTTCTAATATTATAAATATTAATGGTGACCAATCTCCAATATATATTTCTTATTTAAAAAAGAAACACTGTATATCTGTTAACATCATCCTCCTAAAAAATCATTTCAAAATAGAAATATACAGCGTGGCCAGTATCGCTCAGTGCTTGAGCGTTGACCCATGAACCAAGAGATCACCAGGTTGATTCCTTGTCAGGGTACATACTTGGGTTCTGGGCTCAATGCCCAGAAGGGTTTGTGCAGGAGGCTGCCTTATTGATGCTTCTCTCTCATTGATGTTTCTATCTCTCTATCCCTGTCCCTTCCTCTCTCTCTAAAATCAATTAAAAACACACACACACACACACACGTTCACAAAATAGACAAACCTGGTAAATCAAGATTCAAGAGTCCTGGGAAGCAACTAAATATCTCTCTATTTTCAGACACAAAACTACCTCAAGTATATAAAAAGAAACAAACAAAAAAATCTGTCCTGCTTAAAATCTGCATAAAGATGCTATAATCACCTTTAATATCAATCACTGGTTTTAGTAAGTATGGTATATATATAAACTGAAAATATGCCTCAAAACAACTTCATTATAACTCTTTCAGTATATGGGATAGAAGAACTCACCACTATGGTTTTAATATTTTGGTATGTAAATTTAAATTACAGGACCTAATCCACAGGTACATTTAGTTTAAGTCAAACACATGGATTGCTAAAGATAGCAAAAATAGACTGCTAGTGTCCTAGTTGGTTTGGCTCAGTGGATAGAGCGTCAGCTTACGAAGTGAAGGGTCCCAGGTTCGATTCCATTCAAGGGCACACCCCTGGGTTGCAGGCTCGATCCCCAGTAGTGGGCATGCAGGAGGCAGCTGATCAATGATTCTCTCTCATCACTGATGTTTCTATCTCTCCCTCTCC